AAACCAAAATCCCAAGACAAAGTTRGTAAGGATAAATTCAATGGAAGGAATTTTGAGATCACCTCATTTTTWTACAAGGAAACAGAGTACAATGAAGGAAAAAGGTCTTTCAAAGGGAGATCTCCAACCCAAATGTCCTCCCTAAACCGAATAGAATTACTTGAACAAGCATCATACCTGACACAACTAAGGAACTGCGGAAGAACTTTGTGAATTGCTTTCCAAGGTGTGGCTAGGTTAACCCTACTTGATGCACCAACATCCCAATCACTCTCTGAACATCCATGAATACTCTTCACTACTTCGTGCTAGAGTCTATTCAGCTCCAAAGGCCATCTCCACAACCACTTCCCTAACAAAGCTGAGTTCTTTTTAAGCACATTCCCGAGCCCTAATCCTCCCTCCTCTTTGCTTCTACCCACAACCCCCCACTTAAAATGGCCTTTTTTACCTTCTCTCGGTTCCCACAGAAAATCTCTCATCAAATTTTCCATCTTCTTCGCTTCCCTAGACGATATCCTAAAGACAGAGAGATAATAGGTAGGTAGATTCATGAGGGTAGCTTTTATCAAAGTGATCCTCCCACCCAAAGAGATATAATTTTTCTTCCAAACAGCTWGTCTCTTTTCTAACTTCTCCAAGACTGGGGTCCAGAACCTACTCTCCCTAGGGTTTGCTCCCAACGGAAGCCCTAAGTAAGACAAAGGCCAGGAGGAAATGGAGCACTCAAGACAGCCTGCAATCGCCTCAACCTCCTCAAAAACTAAATTTACTCCGGCTATGCAGCTTTTTCCTTGATTTATTTTCAAATTAGAGACTCCTTCAAAAACTGTAATCAATTCTTTCAAATTTTCCACCTTCTCATCGAAACCTCCCTCACAGAAGATCATCAAGTCATCTGCAAACTGAAGGTGAGTGACTGGAATTCGGTTTGTGCCTACTCTCCAACCCCTTATCACATTTTCCCTATCAGCCCTAGTGATAATTCGACTAAACACATCAGCTACCAAGGTAAAGAGGAAGGGTGAAAGTGGGTCCCCTTGTCTGATTCCCCTACTAGTTGGAAAAAAATCCCTCACCAGCCCATGTTAACTTCTTTGATCTTTCTAATGCCCAAACCCCTTCCATTACTTTGGGCATGCCGCAAACTAAGCTTCTAGGTCATGGTAAAATAGTAAAAGCTCATGGTATTCATGAGCCGTTGGTTGATTTGGTATCTTCTCATTTTCTTTGGGGCACACTGGACTTCTAGGTCTGCTCTGCTCTGTGCTTGTTTTGGTAATAACATAGCATACTTTTACTGGATAGGTTGGAGACACAAAAACTGCTTATTGGTTAGCAGCTTTTCTTTTTTGTCACTATCTTGCTTTTTTGTCCTTTTCTTCATTTGTTTCTATCCTACTTATTTGTGACGATTCTGTGGCAGTCAGTTATAAAAGAAAAATATAACATTCACTTTACTCGATTAAATTTTGGTAACAATAACAGAGTAACATTGCCATGCCATGGAAATCTGTTTTTGCAATATTGCTTACTTTTCAGATCCATCAGGTGTGCCCTGTTGATTTTTAGTATTTTTCTTTCGGGAAGATTTTTGGTGGGGACTGGGAGATCCCACTCATTCAGAAACCTCCAAGCATTTACTTTGTTGTGAATGTGTTGCATGGATATGGGCACAGGAGTTGGACTCTTTACTCATGTCCAAGAGTTTGACTCGAGACAATTAGAGAACATGGATTTGAGGACATGTCTATGGAAAAGTATATACTATTAAAACAATTAATATTTTTAAAGTTCTAACATCACTATCATCTAAGCCTTCTCCCAACTATATCGGGTTTGCTACATGAGTCCTGTTTTACCACTCTATTCTGTTCAGTGCAGTATTCATTGTCAAATAGACTAGTTGATAAAAAAGGAAATGTACATTAGTAGTGTTCTCCAGAATATTCATCAAGAAAAAAAGTAGTGTTCTCCAGAATCTGTAAAGTGTCTGACACTGACATGCAACACATTTAGGAGAATCCATGCAAAACTAGTTTCAATGGTTGTAACTCTTTCTTTGCTCAGATGTTCTTTCTTGGGACCCTGAAAATAATGAGGCCCTATTTATTGTGTAAAGAAGTTTTCCTTCAATCCATTGGCAGGGGCTTAGGTGAATAGAATCATGGCTGTAGATACCAATGGTAAGCTATCCTTCTATTATGGGGTCCTGATGCGCCCCGTATTGGGTGTATTGTATTGTATCTTTGGGGCCCCGATACACCTGTTTATATATATATATATATATATATATAAATGAAATTGAAAACCAAAGAAATAAAATAATAGGGGGAGTATCGTTATAAGTACCGATACACCTCTGCCAATACAAGAGGTGTATCGATATTTTGAACCATAGGTTCAATACAGCAGTTAGCAATGTTTGTGTTGATTAAACCCTAATAAATAAGAAAATAATAATGTCTATTTTATAATTATAATGTCAAAAATTTAAAATATAAGTATTTTATAACACAGTGCACAAAACTGCTTGGCGACTGGGAGAGGTGAGCCTCCAAGGGTGCCTTGTCGCCTTGACAACTATGACTTAGACAGGGTTTCATGGTGTAACAGTTGTTGGGCCTTGATAGGATTGTAGGTGGCGACTGATTGGATGGTAACCTCCCAGATGGTTAATGACAATTTGAAGCATTGCAATAAGGATGCAAGATTATTGGCAAGGTTCAAAATATAGGAAACCTGTTGGAAATGTTGTACGGAAATATTGTAAAAATTATAAGCATGGTGGAAAGTTGGTAACATTGTCAGATATGCAAACATATAGAATGCTATTTTATGTAATGATAAAAGATGCAGAGGTAGGTCTTTTTAAATTATTATCTTGTTCCGAATCATCAAATAAAGCTAAGAAACTAAGGTTAATAGGTAAAATGATATGCTACCACGTTGTCCTGTAAGCTTTAAGATCCAGATTCAAAACCACATAATTGAGTGAGTTCAAGCAAAATTTGAACTCATAGATAAAGTGCAAATGATTCTTATAGATCAACCAAATAATTTTTTGTACAACAAAAGCTAAGATTTAAGTTCATATTTGAAAAGAATTTTGAGGTGGCTGAAGGTGGCAATCATGTCTTTTAGGCAGGCAACAACACACTACTACTCCACATATCTAAAATATGGTTAGCAACATATGTAATGATACTATCTCTTGTGCTCCACATAGAACTAGTATATATGGATATGTTAAACCATGATTAATGGTTACATGAATAATGAGCAACTTGTTTAAATTCTTGCCGAGATTCATAAAATCCCTTGCAGGCCTGATAGGGAATGGAGTTTAGAATGGGCACATTTTGGAGGATGAGCTTTTTGAGTTAGCTTGTAATGTGTGTATAATATCTCTTCAATAGTGGCAGTAGTTAATGCTGTGCTGTTTTTTCTTCCATCTCTATGTTGATAGAAAGAGGGGTCCATACTTTTGATATCAAAACAATATACTATTTTTTTGGTAAGTACAATATACTATATTTTACTTCTCTCTTATATATATATATATATACAAACATATAAACAATAGATATTTTACCAACATTGTCTGATCTTGTTACTGATTAAAAAGGTATCCTCTTCTCATTGCAATTCATGTTCATATCTACCTTCCTTATATCCTAGAAATCTTTCATCGCAAAATCTATGTCTGTAACGCTTGAGCAAAATGATGGACCACCAGTGATTAGATAAAGGCACACTTATTTTATTCATAAAAAAGGCACACTTATTTTTGTATATGATTTAGGATTTCTCCCCTCATCTTTACTATTAATACAATACATTTCTTACCACTTATAAAAGAATGCTTGAGCAAAATCCCTTTGTTTATCTGTGAAAACACCCAAAATTTTCGTAAAAATTTCTTTAAATTTGTCATCTCCAAATGTCCCAAAATAGCACAAATAATATAATCTTTAATAAGATTCAGCCCCTCCTCAATAGGGTTGGAGGTGCATGTGATACTACCTATTTTGAGCTAGTAAATAGGAGGGCCTAAATTCATGTCTTTAAGCACCAAGACACATGCTGTTTCTAACTTTAGAGGGTAAAGAGTGATGATCAGATTGTGATAAAATATTGTCATATATTATTGGTATATTGGAGTTTGCAATTCTTCATAAATTATATGGACACACTGGTAGTTTTTATGAGATAATTTTTGAAATAAAATCAGGATGTTACTTTGTTCTCTGTTGCTGACCATCTTCTGTTTCATGGACAGGAAGCTACTATATGGTGGTGATGAGTTCACACAAGATTCAGTGGTAGACATTTTTGTCATTGTAGGGCGTTTTTCCTTTATTAACTGTATATCCCATTCTTGTAAAAGAGATAAACATGGCTGGATTGTTACCTGGGGATCCCTCACATCACGGAATGGTCGAAAGTGGGCCTTACAGTTTTTCTCAGGACAAGCCGGAGCATGCTGGCCGTTGGTATTTATCTAGAAGGGAAATTGAAGAAAATTCCCCATCTAGAAAAGATGGCATTGACTTGAAGAAAGAGACATACTTACGCAAGTCATACTGTACATTTCTGCAGGATTTAGGAATGAGACTTAAAGTGTGAGTTCACCTTAGCTCTTGAAAATTCTCTATGCCTTTTGCATTTTTCCTTGTTCTTTTTCATATTTTCCTTTTCTCCAGTCACATGAGGAATTTGTGTTAGGCTTTGGGTATGGACTATTCTTGTAGCAATTCATTTGTAGTTTTAGCTTTCAACTTTAAATCATGGGGTCAAGAAAAACAGCATAATAATAAATGTGGTGATTTTGGTGCATCCATTTTTTTCACTGGGGATGTGCCTGGTTTATAAAAAAATGTAATATGGGCAAATCTGTCTTCTAGCAATATCTATGGTTCATGTTAATCTGGTTGTATTCTGTCTTGTTTTACATTTTTGATTGATATTATTCKTTCATTCTTTGGTATATTGTCTGTTTGACTTAAGGCATAAGATGATGTTATCTCTTATATGGTTTTACACATCGAATTTATGTTTTTGCTCTTATACTGTAATTGCTATGTGGTGCCTAAAGCATTCATAGTAATTTTGTGAATATTACTTCTGACTGGAGTGTGACAGCAAATAGTTTTGATTGCAGACCCCAGGTAACAATAGCTACAGCGATAATATTTTGTCATCGCTTTTTCCTACGTCAATCTCATGCAAAGAATGATAGGAGGGTGAGTGATCATTGATTATGGTTGTTTTTGAAGCAAATTTAATTCTGTTTCATTTATTGTATGTATTGTTTTTCTTTGATCAGCAACAATTAGATTTCATTGATGAAGAGGGAGAGGAAGCATTTGAGCAAAACAAATATTGTATAAAACAGCTAAGTGTTAGTTAATGTCATAGGAAAAAAAAAGATGAAATAGAATGTTGGACTTGCATTATCAGCCCCAGGGCATTCTGCCTCCCAAGCTTTGGTCTCCTCACCTCACTTCTTGCTTATAGATCAACTAAGGCATTGCTGATCTTGGTTTCCAACTAAACAAGTATGCTAATATATTGGTTTCTCCTACAACAAATTTGAGTCTTAAGGACAAACCTTTCCAGCCCAAGGAATTTTCAAGTTGTAGCCCTAGTAGTAGTGCTAATTGCTCTGCCCTACTGAATTACTTTCACCAACAGGACCCAATAAACTGAGTAAATATTTTTTAAGATAAATAGAAAAGATAATTTATTAATGAAAAAAGTCCCCCTATTTCTTTTTTTTTAAGAGAAGGTAAAGTATTGTTATATTATAATGAACAAAAAAGGTACAACAAGATGATGTACTAAGGAAACAAGAAAAAAAAACTTGTTCCCTAAAACCTTGATCCCCACCCTGCTTTACAAAAAGATTATTCTGTACAAAAAGGATTCAAAACCTACACGGCTACACCCTTAAACAACCTGTGACTAGACAACCAAGAGAACATCTTTCCCACAACTTTCTAAAAAATGGAGTCAGCAGAACTTATCTTGCTCTTGAAGACCCATGCGCTTCTTTCTTGTCAAAGACACCAGAATACCACTGCTGGGGTTATATTCCAGATTAATTTTCCTCTTTTACTCGGTCTTTCCATCCTCCAACCTTTTACAAAGTCCTCTCCTGATCGTGGGCAGCAGTTTTGTACTTCAAACAAGTGTGAAATTCTGTTCCAGATCTCAGAGGAGTAACTGCAGTGCAGTAAAAGGTGATCCACTGTTTCCAGTTGTCCTTCGCATAGAACACAGCTAGCTGAATCCAGTATAGCATCTTTCCGGGTGAGGTTGYCCCTTGTAAGTATTCTGTTGAGGTAGGCCATCCAGACAAAAAAAGATGTTTTTGAAGGCACATTTTTAAACCAGATGATGTGAGTTGGGACTGAATGTCCTGCATTGTCCAATGCCTTGTAAAATGATTTAACTGTGAAGCTTCCAGTCTTCTTCCACTTCCAGATTCTACGATCAGACCTGGCAGACTACACATGTGTACCATTTAAGCACTGCAGTAATTCCATCCATTCATCCACTTCCCAATTGTTTAGATTCCTCCTGAGCTGTGGGATCCAGACCCTACTGTCTTGGATTTGCAAGCCTTCTGCAACCTTGGCTTCTTTGTCTACTGCAACTTAAAATAAAGCAGGGAATCTTTCATACAAGGGCCTCTCCCCACACCGAACATCCTTCCAAAATTTGACCCTCTCTCCATTTCCTACTTTCAACTTCACACCTTTTGCAAACAAGTAGTCAGCCTTTTCAGTATCACCTATGTGGTTTTTAAACAGTCCTATTTCAGATAGTCTTTGGTTACCTAAGGCCCATACAATAAAATTAAGTTTATGAGAGGCTATTTTGTGCCTTGCCTTAGCCTTTTTGTGCGGGAGGTTTACCAGTTTAGGTGTAGTGCATCTAAATTGTATCATACTCTATAAATCAGGCTAATAAGTGTGGAAGTGCATCACAATGGACTGGATTTCAATTTGAGAGGCCATAAATGGGCTTAGGACAAATCACAATAGCAGGCAAGAGTAATGTCTTTGTTGCAATAGCAATTCAAGTGGTAATCTTTATCATGTATATTTTTAATAATAAAGGAAATTTTCATTAAAAATAAAGCAAAAAATTAGAAAATTGGGTAGCCATTTGGAAAGGTCCAATCCCACCTAAGATTAGAGTTTCTGTTGGGAGTAGGGGTGAACAATCGGTTTATTCGGTTAAAACCAAAATAATGAAAAATCAAAATAAACAAAACCGAATCTTTTGGTTTGGTTTTCAGTTAAAACCGAATTTCATATATATATATATATATATATATATATTAACATATTAACTATATGTTGTGCAATGTATATAATACATTATATATTTTAATATATAATAGAATAGAATATTGATATACACACAAAAAAGCCAAAATTACCAAACCAAAATTTCTGGGTTGGTTTTTTTATTTTAACTGAACAATGCTCACCAGGGCTGCCATTCTTCTCCCCTGACCAATTTATAGTATTGGCAGAATCACCTTCAGTGGTTAGGGATTGGTAACAACTTCTCTGTATGTGTAGGTGTAGGTGGCAACATCTATCCCTCCCCAGACCTCGCATTGGTGGGAGTTTCATGCACTAGGCTGCCCCTTTAGTGGTTAGGGAAGACAAACCCAATTCTTTTGCAATTTGGAGCCTTGTGAGTGCAGCCAGACCTCTACCTTTGTAGAATTGACGGTCCCAATTAGTCCACTGGATGCCTACTAAACATGTCCATCCCTCCCCCTTAATGCATCCCAATCCCTGCTACTCCAGGGTTATCCAGGGCACTTTAATAAAAAATTAATCTCACCTCCACCCTCATCCTTCACAGCAAGGCTGTTCATAAAAACACCAAACTGACCAAACCGGCCTGACTTGAACTGATATATCCAGTCGGTTTTGATTCATCAATATGCATAACTGGATCGGTCAGTTCGGTTTTCGGTTTATAACCGACAATAATCCGAACCAAACCGATTATATGTTTGTATATAAAAAATAAAAATTGTCAACAGGTTAGCAATTTAGCAGTCCTATTTTGGTGATGTGTAAAGTTGTATCTACAAATTACTCTCAACTAAAAAAAGAAAAGCTGTAACATGTCAGGGAGAAGGAGAAATTAAAAGGCCATTCCTTTTTCAATTAAAGACTTAAAAAAGTGCAAAGCTGCATTGAAATTCTGTTATTGATAAAAGAAGTGCAAAGCTTAAGTTTTTTGATTTTTTCCATCCATTTTGTGGGTGGTAATCTGTAATCTTTTCAATTCTCTTGTGAAAGTTAACGTTTCCTATAAAAAAAGGTGTAAAGCTGCATAGACTTACTATCGTCTATCAATAGGTTACAGGCCGCCAGGCTGTCAGGCTTATTTTTCAATTCAACAGGCTTGGTTAGTGTTAACAGTTGGTTGGGTTTAAACTGACCAAACCAAGAGAAACTGACTACACATTTTTAAGCCAGTTTGTTTCAATTGGTAGATACCTCAACCTGAGTGGTTTGTTTCTGTTGAGAGAATTGTGTGCAACTGACCCGTGTACAGCCCTACTTCACAGGAAGGCCTGTAGGATTGCTTAAGATGCTGGGAGATGAATGAAGGATCTCCACCACATTCTTTTGTAGGTCATGCAAAGATATTCCTTTGAACTCCAATGAATTTACCACCCACATGTTACATAGGTAGGTTATATGAGAGATCCTATCTTCATAGGATCTTGCTTTGTTTTCAAGGCCTCTAGGATTGCTTAAGATGCTGGTTCAATGGTTTTCTACTATTTCAACACTTTTAAAGGTGGTAAGGTAAATGGAACAACAATTACAACTGGTTCACGACTTGAGTGGTTCAACCTTCCAGGTTAATGGAAGTTTAAAAACATTGGTTTCAAGAAGGTACCTTACGGCCATTTCCCAAGAAGGGTTAAGTTCCTCTCCTTCATGTGCCCTATGCCAACTCCCCCAACTTCCTTGGGTGTGCAAACTTGTTCCCAGCTTACCAAGTCACTTTTCTTCTCTCCACCCCCCATCCCAGAAGAAATCCCGTTCGAGTTTTTCAATCCTATTTTTGACTTCAGCCGAGATTTGGAGCATGGAGAGAGAGAGAGGGTAAATTGATAAAAAAGATAGTAAATTGATAAGTTGGCGAGAGGGGCCTTTGTTAAAGTGAGCCTTCCCCCAAATGTAAATTTCTCCCACAATGCTGCTTTTAGAGAAGTTCACTTGAAGACCAGACACAAACCCAAAACATATGATCACCCGTTTCAGATTGATGATATTCTCGAAGTCAACCTCCAAGAATAATATAATATTAATATTGTCTGCAAATAGTAAATGAGAAATTTGAATTGCTTCCCTTCCCATTTCAAAATCCTTTCAGCAAGTTCAGCCTTTTATCTTTCTCAACAAAATATCTTAGAATAGCAACTACCAAGGTGAAGAGTAAACGGGAGAGAGGGAAGCCTTGCCTAAGACCCTGGCTAGCATTAAAATGACCTTTAGGTTCTCCATTTAATATCACTGAAAGCAAGGCAGAGCTGATGCACCCTTTTACCCACGAGCCTCTCCTTCCTAATCCTTTTAATTTCATGATCATTATGAGGCATTCCCAATACTTTATCATATGCCTTTAGATCAAGTTTAATTACCACACCCAGCTTGCCCCTCTGTCTTGCTTCAAAAAGATGCACATCTCACTTTGCACCTTGGGCACTAAAAGGCCCTTGTGCATTTATTGTGCCTTCAGTCTGAAAACACAGATTTCCACTAGGAAGGAATTTGTAAGAGTGCCTATGAACTCTCTTCTTTGGGGGTGGCAAGTCTTAGCAATCTTTGCACCATATTGTGAAAAAATCTAATTTTAATTTGATGGATGTAGTGTTGAGTCTGTTGACTATCCTTGGCAATCTAGAGTTGGAGCTTTTTTTTTTTCCAGGAATTTTATCGGGATGCTTTATTGAGCTTTTTGGGAAAGGTAACCTTCATTCGGGCAGAACTGTTGGCACTTTTTGTAGGGCCTTAAGTCTGCTTATTGTTCATAATAGTCAGGTTATTGATCAAAAAGATAGTGGTCAGGTTTGCCTTATACTGATGGTAATAGACTTGCTGTCCTCTGATTCAGTGTGTCCTTGGAATTTTGGATTTCACTACACAGGCTATTCCATGTTGAACAGCTTGTTCATGTGGAACTCATAAAAAAGCTTGTTCATGTGGATTATGAGATGAGATAATGCTGATTCTATTTCTTGCAGTGGGGATTCGGAGAATCAAGTCTGGTTTGGGGGTTACCAGGCCCTGGGTAAGGGTCTCTGTGGTGACAGTGGTGTACTTATCCTGCTGGCTTTGTTTCTTAAAAGTGTGTTCCCTTCCATACAATTTTTAAATGGAGCCATCACAACTTACTGACCGTTATTGATCAATTATTTTTGTGCACCTCCGAACATGATATTTTTTATGATCATTATTCAAAATGCTATAGGAGCTGTTCAATGGTTGAGAACATTGGAGCTGTTCAAAGTGTTCTCAGTTGATGAGCTGTTAAGGAATTGGAAGGAGATTGCAGATTCAGGTTTATGTAGAAAGATATTAAAAGTGTGCTGGACTCCTCCATCCCTTGGGTTCACTAAATTGAACTTTGATGGCAGCAGCATAGGCAACCCAGGGCCTTCTGGAATTGGGGGTGTGATAAGGGATGAAACAGGGAACTTGTTAGCCTTGTACTCTGGGCCGATTGGGGTGGGTGACTCCTTGAGGGCTGAGATTTTAGGAGCTATTGAAGGGATACAAAAGGTCAAGGAAATGAATATCAAAAAGGTGGTTATAGAAGGTGATTCTGAAACGGTGRTGAAATGGCTAAAASWGGACAGTGCTATGATGTGGAAATACAGCAATGAAAAGAGGAAGTATAAGTGGTTAACCAAGGACATGGAAATTCAATGTACATGGATAAAGAGAAGTGCAAATGCATTGGCTGATGGTCTAGCTAGGCAAGGGGTAAACAGAGATACATTATTTTGGGCTGTTTTGTAATCACTGCATGGTCAGAAAGTTTCTTGGGTAGCTGGAGTTAAAGACTTTTTAGCTCCATCCCTTTGTAAACCTGATTTTTATTATTAATAAATTTTCACTGTTACTGATAAAAAAATGCTATAGTTTCAATGACTATGAACATCCAATTCAGCTTTAAAATTTTGACCAGGGGATCTCTTGGTGTTAAACCCCCACTATGCTGCTTACTAAGCATTTGTACAGTCTTCCTCAATTGCACTTAACTTCCTCGTATCTTATTTGATCTTACACTATTTCTGCTATTGGATTGCATTGTGATCTATGTGGCTAAAGATATGCTGACATTTAAGGAATCTGGTAATTTTACTTGCTTGATATGAAGTTTTTCAAGGAGTTAATAGATTTTCTTTATGGATGCTGAGTATAATACATTTCCTCCCAATAGATAACATAATTAGTATTGTTTGTAGATGTTATATTTATAGCAGTAAGAATGGGCACACATGTTGATGTTGGAAGGAGAAGTGATAAATGTTGCTTGTGCTATATTTTTATTGATCAATTTTTAGTTCCTTACTCCTGTCAAAAATGCTCTGCAGACCATTGCAACAGTGTGTATGTTCCTTGCGGGTAAGGTTGAAGAGACACCTCGGCCACTGAAGGATGTTATTCTTGTTTCTTACGAAATCATTCATAAAAAGGACCCAGCTGCTGTCCAGAGAATCAAGCAGAAGGTACTACTGCATTTGGTGCTTCTTGCATGTTTATTCACCTAATTGCTTGTTCTGATGTTGATTTGGTTTTGTTTCTACATTTAGCACATTTCCGTATTTGATTTGAATGGGACCAAGAGATACTGCAAGACTACTTTCTACTCATCTCAAACCATTCCTTCATCATTTGTTTTGTGGTTACTAAGCTCTGTATCTGCATCCATTACACAGGAAGTGTATGAACAACAAAAAGAGCTGATTTTACTTGGTGAGAGGGTTGTTCTAGCAACACTTGGTTTTGATCTCAATGTTCACCACCCGTATAAACCACTCGTGGAAGCAATAAAGAAATTCAAGGTTGCCCAGAATGCTCTTGCCCAAGTTGCATGGAATTTTGTCAATGATGGGTATGCTATAGCTACTGTATTTCTTTTGTACTCCTTATTCCAGTTCCAATATTGTGCATTCAATAGTCTCTCTTCCTTTTATTTTCTTCACATACTGGAGAGCGACATGCAGGCTGCGGACGTCGCTCTGCCTGCAATTTAAGCCCCACCACATTGCGGCAGGTGCCATATTCCTTGCTGCCAAATTCCTAAAAGTGAAGCTCCCATCGGATGGTGAGAAGGTCTGGTGGCAAGAATTTGATGTCACCCCACGCCAATTGGAGGGTATCTTCCCTTTCCATAGTCACATTGAAGACCATAGAGGCAGTATACTAAAGGCACAGTGGTGCACATGATACAGATGGTGGGACCTACCATTAGGAGCGTTCTACCAATACCATTGATGTATGTGTTGCCAAACATTGACACAAGTGGATGAATGCATCCATTCTATGCTATTTTTTTGTGCTTGGCCATTTAAAATGGGCAAGCCTTCAAGCATCAAATGTGTTGAGTGGATGGTTGCAGTCATCAGATAAGGTCAATGGTCTTGACATTTTTAGATGGAGACATCGTAGTGTGTCCCATCAACTTAAATATTGGTTTGTGCATCTCTGTGTCATTTATATCCTGTCCTTATGCGTCTTCCAGACAGATACCTTTTGACTTCTCTAATAGGTTATTATGGCAATATTTCTTGCAGAGGTTAGCAATCAAATGTTGGAATTGTATGAGCAAAACAGAGTACCGCCTTCCCAGGGGAGTGAAATGGAAGGAAGTGCTCAAGGTGGACCAAGTCACCGGGCCCAAGGGAAAACTCCATCTACTAATGACGAACCAGTGTCGGCCAATGGACATGTTCAAGCTGGGGGGGCATCAACAGCAAAGCCTGGAGCTTCAGTGCCATCGTCACGTGCTACTTCTGACCAATCATATGCTGAAAATCAAGGTGGATCTCAGAGGAATAACCAAAACCGGAGCAATGACCATGGGAGCACAGAGACAAGAAGTGTTATTTTGGACCAAAAGGTGGATGCTGAAAGTAAAGAGCGTTGGCATTCTGAACATGATCCATTGCCTTATAACAGGGATATTGGAGAAGCTTCCAACAGGTCAAAATATGGATCAGATGGACATGCGGAAGAAGATCAAGAAAGGAATGGTGGGAGAAGTGAATCTGCTGAACCAGGAGAGTTGAAAAATGAAGGTGCACCATATAAATCCAGTAATGCCCCTAGTCGAACTTTGGAGTTTAGAGAAGGTCCTGTAGGTCAATCTCCACAGGATGTAATCAAGAAGATTGACAAGGATAAGGTGAAGGCGGCATTAGAAAAGCGTAGGAAGTCTCGTGGTGATGTGACTCGAAAAATGGAGTTAATGGATGAAGATGACCTCATTGAGAGGGAGCTGGAAGATGGGGTTGAATTGGCAGTTGAGGATGAGAAAAACAAGCGCGAGAGAAGGCAGAGCTGGTCCAAACCATCGAACAGATCAGAATTTGAGAACCCGGTTTATGGGAAGGATCATAATGATGCTGCAGATGGAAAATACCCTGGAAGAGAAGGGCAGTCGTCGTGGGGTCCTGATGGGGAAATTGTGGAAGAGGGGGAAGTATCGTTGTATGATGAAGCTGAGCATGGACGCCGCTCACCCAAATTGAGCAACCGCAAAAGAAAGGCAGCCAGCCCACCTGATAAACAGTTGGAAGGAAAGCATCGGCATGATTATACACCAGGATATCACCACAGTCATAACCATCATGATCTTATGGAGGATGGGAACAGGATGGGACGTCATGGCTATGCAGAAAGGGATCACAAAAGGCATGCGCAGGAAAATCACGTCTGATGGCGTGATTATTCCCATCATGTCTGCTTGATAGTGTAGTAAAATGGAAACAACATTTATTGGATATATTTTTATCATTCCTAAAAAATGGGAGGGATGCTTCAAGTTTCATTCTGCTACGGCTGTGGAACCTAATAATGCTGTTTATTCTTGTTATCTTGGGCTTTTTCTGTATGGAAAAACAGAGGAAAAAGAAAGAAAAAAGAAAGAAAAACCTTGAAGCTTCAACTCAAAATCATCAAACTGTGGAGATCCTATTCTCTCTCTCCGTCTCTCTCTCTCTCTTGTGCTGCTCTACAACATGCATAGTGAAAATTTTTGACTTGTTGCATTAGATCGGTGATCTCATGTGGACAGTGGAGCAAGGTTTAAAGTATCGATAGCCCATATGTATCGTTCTGGGACTTTTGATACGCCCGCGAGTGTATTGGAGGTTTGACCGGTTTAGGGGTAGAGGACACCTAAATTGGCCCCCTGAACCGGCTGAAAAAAAAAAGACTAAAATGTGTATTGATTCGCCCGATACGCTCATATCTAATTGAACACAAGACAGGGATTGCCTAGCTTTTCAACCTTTGAATTGAATCTAATTGAACACAAGACAGGGATTGCCACTTTTGCTTGGTTCAGCATTGCGTATCGAGATTGAAACTCCTATTTTCTTGGTTCGGCAATTTGTCATTGATTTGAGGTGTCATTTTCAAATACTGTAAACTGGTGATAAGAAATGGGAAAGTGTGCATGACTAATGATGATTGCACCAATGCCGAATAACTGATGCAAGTAGGTGTGAAAACTGAAGAATAAGAGAGGTCAAAGATTGACAGATGGGTATGTTGAAATGTAATAAGGGGAGGTTAAATTCTTGGAGTTCAGAACTGAGGCTTGATATGAGAGGGAATTTTTTGGGTTCTCATTAGGATAGTTGGATTTGATCATGTCAGTGATTGACAGATGGGAGTGAACAGGATAGTTGGGCTGGAATCCATAAGTGTAACATGGATTTGTGGAATTGGGGCTAACATTTGGTGTACCGAAATTGTTGGTGGGTTTCTCATTGCGATGCGGATTAGGGGTTTTAGAATGTTTATGGTCAAATCTTGATTTTGCAGGTGGTTCAAGTTTTTATGTTTTAGTTTCACAAAATATATTTTAAATTCATTTTTACATAATATACAACATCAAAATCAATTTTCATTCATTTTATTTAATAATATGTAATATATTGATTATGGGTAAATTTTGTTTTAAAGTATTCTTGAGTTTTTTGATAATTATCTAAAACTTCCTCTATTGTTAATTTTTTATCACACTCCATTTACATCTATATTTTTAAAATTCTTAAAATACCCTTTCTCAGCATCTTCGCAGAAGAACATTTTGATCCCAATTTCTCAAAAGAACTTAAAAGGATATACGGAGAGAAGATGAGGTTCTCTAGACATCTGAATTTGGGATTGACAATGTTGAAGCGGGCTACAAATCCCTGGAGACTTCAGAGCGATGCTACAACTACCCTCAGAAACAGAGGAGCTCAAAGTAGCAGTTGACTGTTTTCGAAACAACACTGCAGACTGCGCATGTTTCACATCAGTCGTCATTTTCTAGGACAATCACCAAAACCCAACATCCTGATATAGAAGAAAACTAAACAAATTAACTATTTGTGAAACAATTTCATGTAAAGAACTTCTCTATAACTAGGTTTATCAAGCTGGTCGTCAGTCGAAGCCTTAGATTTTCCATTTAACATCGGCTTCCGAGTTGCTGCTCTGTCGAGGACCTCAACTTGTCTCAAACGAGTAACTTTCCTCTTAACTCCCGTTGGGCTGTGAGCAAATAAAAAAAAAAAAATCTGAATCGATCGAAATTGAACTGAAAAATTGGTTAACTGAATTGGTCGGTTCGGTTTCAATTAATCAATATAAAAAATCAGTGATTAACCGAATCGATCGATATAYATATATTTCTGTATATTTATATATATTATATATATTATAAATTAATAAATATATATTATATATAAATATATAAATATGTGATATATTATTTATTATTTAAAATATAATATTATATATTTTTTTATAATATATATTATAAAAATTAAAAAACTGACAAACCGAACCGACAGTTAATCAAACCAGTCATTCGGTTAACCGATTAGCTTCAGCTCAGTTTCAGTTATCGATTTTCCAAAAACCAGTAATACCAGATCAGTTGTAAAAAAGGCCCACAATTCGGTTAATCAAACCATGAGCACCCCTAACTTCGATACTATCATCATCTATAGTCTAATGAAATTTGTACAAGTTCTGTGAATTAACAGGTGCCCTACTTAGCAATTTCTATCCCTGCAATAAATGATTATTCAAAGTAAAAACCCTCCGATACATTCGATTATTCAAAGTAAAAGCCACCATATCATTACCGCTTTTTCGGTGTTTTTTATGTTTTTATTCCACATGACCACCAATTCAGAACGATGGTCCTTTACAAGATGGACATACCCAAATGACACACAGAGTCTCATCTTTGTAGTCGGCCATCTCAAAGCACATACTATGGCTGTGTTTGAAAACGATGCAAATATGTAGAGTGTAAAACAGTTCATATAAATTGGAAAGTTGGGTTAGTTTTGCATTGACAAATTTACCTTCTTACCAAACAAACTTTTAGTAGTAACRGATGCAAACATGAATTCCAATAAAACATATGTTTTTTTTTATCAAAAGCCAACTTGAATGCAAATTTACTTCTTTTTTATTGATATACTTTTACATCTTATTATCAATGCAAAAATATGCATTGGTCTGTCATTTGTCAATGCAAAAAAGTAATGTTGCCAAACACAAGCAAAATTGAACCAGAGTGCAAATTTACCCTGAACCGGGATTTACACTCCATTTGCATCATTTCCAAATGCAACCGAAAGAAAAAAAAAGGAGGAAGAAAAACCTAATAGTTTTATAACRGTTACAACTCAAAAACTCTATAGTGGCTTAGTTTTTTTATTTTCTTTCGGTATAGGTTTTACATCCGAAAGAAAATGGTTAGACAATATGTAGAGTGTAAAATGGTTCATATAAATTGCAAAGTTGGGTTAGTTTTGCATTGACAAAATTACCTTCTTACCAAATAGACTTTTAGCAGTAATGGATGCAAACATGAATTCCAATAAAACATATGCTTTTTTTTTCATCAAAAGCCAACTCGAATGCAAATTTACATCTTACCAAATAGAGTGCAATTTATATGAACCGTTTTACACTCTACATATTGCTTAACCATTTTCTTTCGGCTGTAAAACCTATACTGAAAGAAAATAAAAAATAAAAAGCAATTTACATAATGTAAAGTAAATTTTCTTTCGGTATAGGTTTTTTGATGTGTCCAACAGAGTCCCATGTTGGCAACAAACACATGAGCCTCCAATGACATGGCGGGGGTTTTGATAATTTGAAATGTAGAGTTGGTTGTCAGAGTTTTGTTGGTTTTTAGACAAACCTACAACCTAATTTTAAATGTACAATTGACTGTGACTATAATTTTCCCTTTAAATTATATATTTCATTTACATTATATGAAATACTTTTTTACTTATCACACTTAATTTTTGTTTGTATGGTATAATTGACTGTGACTATATTTCATTTACATTTACATTATATGGTATCATTTGACTCAAACCACTAACCCACCATCTAAATAAAAAAATTGTTTGATTTCTAAGTTGACATTAAATTTTGTATTACATTTCCATCATTGATAAAAGTATTCCTTATGTATAAAACTTATTTTTGTTCAATATAATGAATGCACAATATTAGAGATGTACCTAATATTTTATCTTTTATAAATATATAACATTAAATATGTACCCAAAATTTTTCTATCTTTTTTTTTTATTTTTGTGATTCTTTGTATTTTCTATTATTAAAAGTTTTATTATTTGACTATGACATCATTTCATTTCTAGGTAGATTTTGAATTTCACATCCATTTTCATCATTAATAAAAAATACTTCTTATATTTCATAGTTATTTATTTTAATTTTTTATTATTTAATTATGGCATTATTTATTAATCCATTTGACCCCAAATGGTCGAATTGCTTGCCCACCACCAAGAGGGAAGAAAATGGTTTTGTTTTCAAATTATTTTTTAAAATATTTATTTTTGTACTATTAAAATTAATATTGTGGATTTAATTACAAGAATTTAATGATAAGAAAAATATATCTTAAAATATAGGATTTAATGAGAGAATAGGAAAATATTTTTATTTCATTTAATTTTAAATTTTACATTCMATTTCCATCATTAATAAAAACATTTTTTATTTATCATACTTATTATTGTTTAATATGTATGTTAAAATTGTTCCCAATTTTTTTAATTTCTATTTTTTTGATTTTATCTATTGTTTAATTTTATTATTTAATTGTGGTAACATGGATTAACCCATTTGACCCAAAATGATTTAATTTCTTACCACCACCTAGATGAAAACACTATTTTTACTAGGTATATTTTAAAAGTATAAGCTTTTATGTTCTTGGAATTATTATTTTATTAAGTATGGATTTAATTAATAGAACTTATTGATGAGAAGAAATAAAAATGACTTAAATATATGATTCAATGAACACAAATGCAAGTTAGTAACTTAAATGTTGGATTTAATGAGAGGGAATTTAATGCACTGAATATATTTAAATTACCTTTTTTCAACTCATTTATTATCAAGAACCAATTACCCTATTTGCCCTCATTTTTTTAAAAAATATTTAAATATAGAGGGATAAATTTTGTCCTTAGAAAATTCCAGAAATATTCTTGAGGACATTCATGCTTTTTAAAGTAACTAGTAATTATGCACCTGCTTTACACGTGATAACTAAAAATTTGATTTATATGATTAACATATTAAAAATGGTGCATAAGTGAGATACAAAGAAACATACAACACTAAAGAGACAATATCATGTCAAAAAAAAAAGAGACAACACTAAAGAGACAATATTAGGCATTTAATTTAGCAGTTGGGCTTGTGCCCCCTATTGCGAAAAAAAAAAAAAAAGGTCTTAGCATTGCCTTTAACCAAAGCCTTAACTTATTTAAAGAAACTTCTAAGGGAGGCCTTAACAACTAAATTCCCATTAAATAAAACAACAAAAAGATGTTAAATAAGACTTAAGAAATTTTAAACAAAAAACATGAACACTATTTTAATAAAAAATAACAATGTAAAACAAAATCAGCATAAA